GCCTGTGCGCTCCATCGATTATTTCGGCTGCCGCTCGACTTTTGGACTTACGAAAGAGTTCCTGTACTTTCGCGTACTCAATTCTCCTCCGTTTACGGCTAGACAATCCTGTAGAGGCATTATCTGTTTCACTAGTTGGGTGGATGCGGAAGCGCTTCGCGCTCTTGGTTCCCAGCCCATAACGCGCTCTCCTCGCCGCGGCCTCCGAGAGGAGGTCGTCGATGAGTCGAGACGCGCATGGTCTACCTGGTGTACCAGGATTCACAACAGGCGGCGTTCTGTCCGGTGATGGTTGAGGCTGGACGGGTAACTCGGCGCTCTCAGTTTCCAGGGCCAGCTGCGACGAATCCCTGCTCTGTATATCGCCCCAGACAGGTGGTTTTAACTCATCCCGGCACCTTTGTACCAGGCTCCGATAGTCACCACCTCGACGTTTTCCTTTGATTGCTTCGAGGGTTCTGTCGAACCCCATCAGACAATTGAGCAGGTCTACATTCGAGCAGTGGCCGGTCTCCTCAAGCAGCCTCGCCTCCGCACGCGCCATCAGCATCACCTCCTCTTCACGCCACTTGCGCTTCACCGGCGCAGGAGCAACTTCCGCGTTCGTCTCGATCGGGTGGGCACGACGTTTGTGGACACCCAAACCCGTTTTGGTGCTGAACGATCGTTCACACACCGGACACGTCCAACCGACCACCGGTCCCGGGGCAGAGGCCTCGGTTCGCGCGGCCGGGGAATGGGCCAAGCTCACCGACTCCTGTGGGAGGTCGGGGTGACCAGATAAAATTTTCTTTTTCCTGTTCATTGCTTGTTTCTTTTTGCCCATTGACGATTGGGGTGCAAACCCAATCGTCGGGAGCGCCCATCACTTTCGTACGTCCCAACCGAAGTAAGTGATTGGACTTAGGTCGCCACCACACGACAGAAGCCGATTCGATGGGACCCTTTAGGACTATTCGGGCTTTAACCCCCGAACCTCGCACGGGTTCCGTCCCCCCTAGACAAGGAACCAGCAAACCCGCTCACAAGCCAGACCACCCTGCCCTCTCACTCATTCGGGCTAAGTACCCAAATGTCGGTATTAACGGGACGGAAGTGATGGAAATCACGCGTTTCGCCCCGCGAAATAAAGGAATGTGCCATAGGGACTTCGAACCCCGCATCAGCCAACTCCAGGGTCCACTACTTTAGGCACCTCCCCTCCTCCCGTATCAGTCATGAGCAGCGTTGCCTCGTGTAGGCTAGGGGACCAGACACCCGGGGCCCCATTTATTTATTTATAATACACCAACAGGTGAATTATGAGACATGCGAAAAAAAATTATAACAAACAGAAAACACATAATAACTTCTCCCAATTATATGTGTACACATCATAAAAGAGTAATTAAGTAACAAACAAACGACAACACAAAAACCTTTATTGAGTGAAACAAATTATGAAAACAAAAAAAAATAATGGAGGAAAAAAGAGGACATAAATTAACTCGCAACATCATGGAGATATTTCTTAAAAGAACATAATTTGTTGGAAAAAACATCGATTTGAGGCGCATCATTTCTGGCTCCAGCAATAATAGGGTTATCATGACATTGCTTAGGATCTTCTACAACATTATGAGTTATTGTAACCTGTTAATTGGTGAATTTTATAATCGAGTTCCCAGACACATCTAAAACTCTGGGCCAGCTTTCTAATAATATTGTAAATAAGTATTAAATCCCAGGTATCAACTGGTACATTCAATGCTTTGAGTGAATCTAGGCTTTGTTGTAATGTTGTAAGGAAGTTAAGATTAATTTTACTTCTAGATGTAACATTAGTTTGTTGTCGTACCTCTTAGTAAGTATACTTAAGGCATGTCGATAATTTACTGTAGTAACTGTTAGGGAGACGATGAGGGACAGCTTCCCCGCGTAGTTGCTCATATGAGTCGATTACTCCATCGAATAGCGATTTAAAGCTGCACCACTCCGACAGGTTTCCATCGAAGCTTGGAATCTGTAAATATGGGATTTTAATAACAGGTGATTTAGAGTTGGGTTGTAGTTCGTGTCTAAAGACGACGGACAATAAGGAGGATGGAGAAGAGCGGTTGGATTTTGATAAACTTTAGAAAATTATATAATAAACTTAAGGGAAAATAAGTTCAGTTGTTTTATATTTTTTCCAGTTATATTATCCCGTTCGTTTACATAATGTGTAAAACATTCATACACTTGTTCTTTGGATGGAATTCAATAGATTTTTACTACCTTACTGTAGTCATCGATGAAACTCAAAAAGTATTTTTCACCATGATTTCCTGTTGTGATATGTGACCCATTCAAGTCAGTGTGGACAAAATCTAGTATATTTCTAGATCGTTGTCTGTTAATACAGATTGCACACTTCAATTTCCATTCAGCTTCCAATTGTTTAGGTAATCCATCTAACATCTCATCTCTACACATTATGTTTAAATATTTAAAATTCACATGTCCCAATGTTCTATGTATTTTCTCTTTCAATGTCAATGTACTATTAGTAATAGAGCAAGAGCCCGTGAGGGCCAGACTTTCGGATTTTTATGAAACCTAAAAGTTCTTCTAAGCATATCCCTAATACAGGTCAGAATGATCCCCACCCACGAAACCTGGGTAAATTTTTCAAGAAAATTCCATTGAGATGACTGCCACTTTTACGGCACACCACCTCTGATCCCAAGGGCTTCCTAGAGTCAAGTAAGCGTTATTGCACATTATTGTTTAAATCTATATTGTTACCTAACTTAAAAAATAGAGGAATGTATATGTACAGTCAGCGTCATATAGATCGTCACAGACAAGATATGCAAATATATAGGTACACCAAAAGTAATCAATTATATCGGTACAACAAAAGTCCTCAAAATAATAGATACATTCACCCTGCTCGTACGTACTTTAACGGTCAAACTCATTAGTCCAAGGCAATATCAAAAAGTACCTAATAACTACGGCGATAGAGTTTAATTACATGTGCTTCGATATTAAAATTAAAAAGTTTAAATATAAAAAAAAAAAAATAGTGGCTTGGGATTTGAACCGCCGACCTTACGTACCAACGGCGGCGAACGGTAAGGCTACGAGACCAAACTAGCATATATGATGACAAACTTAAATTTGATGTTGGTTTTATCTACCTAATATCTGTCATCCGCGTCGAACACTTTTAGTAAATTTTGAAAAATGGTTTGATGCAAAGTGTCAAATGAATGTAACAGAAGTAGTTTATTCCAAATTGTATCACAAGTATATAGAGATAGAGTTCAATTTTGTCAAATGTACCGATATTTTTGCGCACCTTGACTGCTTCGTTACTTATGACGCTGTGGCTGCTACGATATTTATGAGCATCTTGCATGTACTTATATATTTGACGCTGTGTATGTACCGATGTATTTGAGCAGGGTGAATGTATCTATTATTTTGAGGACTTTTGTTGTATCGATATAATTGATTACTTTTGATGTACCTATATATTTGCATATCTTGTCTGTGACGATCTATATGACGCTGACTGTACCTATTCTATCATTTTTGATGTGCTATTTTAAAATATGTTTTCTTATACATTTGTTCTCACTTTAAATTCGAGCCACAGTCAGATACGAATGATTGTATTTCTTTTACAATAAAATGAAATTTTCATTACACTCTACGCCGACGGGTGGATCCATAAAATCTTCCATGTCCATGGTGTCCTCTTATAAAATTGGATCGTCCTGTAAAACTGCATCATGCAATACTGCGCATGCTGCGATGACAGCTGGACCATTTTTTACCTTTAAACCCATATCCCCACTTGAAGACAAGGAAACTTTCGTTTTAGAACGCCAAAAAGCCTTTCCACAATGTTTCTGGTTTTAACATGTGCCTGATTATATGCTCCTTCAGCAGGCGTTTATGCATTAAGTATCGATGTTAATAGGTATGGTCGACACGGGTAACCACTATCTCCAAGAAGGACCATAGAGCCAAAATCGCCACGTTCAAATTGGGCACATAAGGGTGAATCATTAAAAATTGTACTATCGTGCACAGAGCCAGGCAATCTGGCAATTATGTTTCTGATGCGTAAATTGGAGTCGCACACAATTTGAACGTTAAGTGAAAAGTATCCTTTTCTATTCCGAAACATTTCTAAATTAGATCCCCATAAAAATAAACATAAATATGAGTATTCCTCGCCTTTAAGAAAATCATTTGTTCATCTAGTAATAAGTAGTTAACGGTGTTAATTCCAATATATATTAATAGCTGATGATGTCTTCGTATGCCGGTGGAATGATAACAATGTTGTCACGCGAGGTTTCTGTCCTCGCTGAGCTGGCCTCAGGACACCTGCGTTATTCTTTGGCAGATGTACCGCCCCAGTCAAACTCCCCGCCTGGCAGTGTCCTCGAACCTGATCACGCGGGAGTTGTACGGCGACGGGCGTTGCCGCCACGCCACCACTCTGCACGCTTGGAACGAAACACCGTAGTGGTTTTTCAGCGACGACCGCGCGAACGATCTCCCACTTATGCTACACCTCTCATGTCTCCTTACAATGCCAGACTAGAGTCAAGCTCAACAGGGTCTTCTTTCCCCGCTGATTCTCCCAAGCCCGTTCCCTTGGCTGTGGTTTCGCTAGATAGTAGATAGGGACAGTGGGAATCTCGTTAATCCATTCATGCGCGTCACTAATTAGATGACGGGGCATTTGGCTATTTTCCGCCATCACATGATGCTTACGTCTTAGTTGAACGCGATTTATAATCATCATGGATGCCCGGAAGATATCACTGGTCCCTGTCTTCCATCTTGGACGAAGCATTGTGCCGATTGTTGGTAAATGGGAACTCATGGATGACCAGCAGGGAAAGAGTATTCACTAAACTTTGATACTAAGCCCCCAAGGGCTCGGCAGCGGCCCGAACTCCACAGGACCCCGGTCGCTCAAATCGAGGTCCCTGCCCCAGTCCCGGTCATCTGGTTAAACCGTGTCCAATTTATGTGAGACCCTCTCAGCACCAATGACGGTACCAACCGAAAAACAGACTCCTTCAGCCCCAGCAGAGATTTCATCTCCTTGTAGGAGGAATGGCTCCACATGCCTCTCCAGGAAATCGTGCAAGAGGTAGCGCGGACGCTTTCTCTGCCAGGTAATCTTAGTATGCCGGCGACCTTTTCGACTAGCTCATCGTGAGACCCGTATTTACTACGTTTCTCGCGATGAGCATCATCTAGAGGTCGCTGACCCGAGACCACCTGGACGTCCACGATCACTCCGACGTCTCCTTTTGAGGCGATTATGTCGGGCTTTCTAAGGCCTCTCGCAGTCTTGACTTGAGGCTCCAGTTGCACAGACCACTGGTTTGAGGCCATCGTTTCTGCTACTAACCTCACAACGCAATTATGGCGCTCGGTCCGACCACCGTGAGTTCGCCAACACTGTTGAATAGTGTGAGCCGTGGTTTCGTTAGCCGCGCACCCGGCGCGGCACTTCGATGCCGACTCACGAACTATTTCACGCCCTCTTGCCGTGCGTACACGTGAAGGAAGGGCGTTTATGTGAGTGTGGACGAACTGCAAGAAGTCGCGACCGGTGAACCGAGTACATTCCTCCCTAATCCACTTAGTGGACGCGGGAGTGCGGGCGGATTCGAGTAGTTCGAATCCGTCCACTGACCTCCACAACTTATCTCGCCAGAATCGCGCGACGGACCTAAGGCCCGTAACCGGGTCTTCTTTGGTGAACTTTCGGATTTGCTTATGGGCCCAGCTTAACTTCTTCGAGATACTGTCGGATCTGGCGGCTGCTCTAGCCACTGGCCAACTCGACGAGCTAAGCCGTCCAAACCTCTTAGTGATGAGGTCTGGAACGACCGCTCGCACAGGCACATCCTTAGGGAGTCTTAGCCATTTTCTGACTGCGCCCCGGATCTGGACGTCGAGCATACTTAACCTATCATCCGAGATAGTGCCCAGCACAAGGCCGTGCAAAAATCTCGGAATCAGGTGCCCTCTAACAATTTCGAGTCGCTGTTGCGGCTTGAGGGGTGGGGTGCCTTTGTGATGTTGTGTAAGGCCTTTTTGATATCATGCTCTAACATCACGCATCCAGAAACCTGAAAGTCAACGCCGAGATAGCGCCAACGTTCAACGCAAGATATTTGTGCCAGCTACATCCTTCCAACCCTAAAGGTCTTCTCGGTCAGATAATGGTGCTTCTTGTGCTTTCCGTCGGGCACCATCGATAAAACGGCGCTCTTTTTGTGGTTGATGAAGAGGCCCATTTTCGACGCCACTTCGATCACACGGTCGATGGACTCCTGCAACCCTACCTTTGAACCTGCAAGCAGTACTAGGTCATCGGTATAGGCAAGGGCGGAGAAACGCTCCGCCTCAAGTCTATAGCCTACCTGTGACGGCAGGGAGGCAAGAATTAGATCCATCGCCATGTTGAACAAAATGGGCGACAATGGGTCCCCCTGGCGAACCCCACGGCCCACGTGAGCAGGTTTGCTCGACTTTCCGTCAACCACCAGGGTGGTGGTTGCCGTGTCGTACAGTCGGCAGATGTAATCACAGAATGCCGCGGGCAGCCCCCGAGCCCGAAGTAGTTCTAACAGTGCCTTATGGGACACTGTCGAACGCCTTCGAGAAATCGAGAACAGCCACGTGACACTCTCTTAACTTTTTCCTGCAGTCCCCTAGCACTGCGTCCAGCACGGCGGAGTTCTCCAACGTGCCGTCGGCGCGGACGAATCCACGC